ACTTTGGATTTCTTGGTGCTAAAATGTTATTTTGAAGTTAAACCTTTGGGAGTTTGATGTTATATGGATAGTTTTGGTTTTTGATGTTTTTTGAATGATACTTTGGTAAACTTTGATAGTTTTGGTATTTTAATGTTTGGTTGTATCGTTATTTGATGTTTTTTAGTATAAAAATTTGATGATTGTAGTATTTTTTTCTTTTAGATTCATAATAAAAAAATGATATTACAAGTTCGCGACGGATTGGTAAGAATAAAAAAAGTATTTTAATGCATCAATTTTGCGAGGGTTTAGCTACGGAAAAAAAATCATGTCTAAAGTTCGCGACGGATCAGCGACGGAAGAAAAAAAAATTAATGTATAAATTTTGCAAGGGATTAGCTAGGGAAAAAACCATGTCTAAAGTTTGCGACAGATCAGCGACGGAAAACAAAAAATATCAGTATATGAATTTTGCAAGGGATTTGCTACGGAAAAAAAAACTGATCACGGAAATTTGTGACAGAACAGCGACAGAATGACTTTATCAAATTTTGTCGCTAATGCCTAAGTAAATGTATTGGGTGACATTTAGCGACGGATATTCTGTCGCTACATTTGTCGCAAGGAAAAACCTCTCCGTCGCTAAAACCCTAGCTGAGAATCCGTCGCTGATCCATTGCAAACAACATTTAGCGACGGAATAGCGACGGATACTTCCGTCTCTAAAACCCATGTTTCTAGTAGTGATTGGATAAATTAGCCACTCGGGTTAATTTTATAGGTTGGGTATAAAATTACAGTTATCACTTGTGTTATCACTTGTCACTCTGTCATATTTGGAAAGAAGATAATGAGACAAGCGATCACTTATTTTCACTCGAAAGTTCAGTGTTTCATCTGAAAAGAAAAGTAGCAATAGAAACGATGGAAATATGCAATCCAGAAGATTTAAATAAACACAAAACATCCATAGCATGATTAAAAACGGAAGCACAAAACAATCTCCTATCAACAACATTTGTAGCCAAAAACAGCAAGCATTTATTATAAGTTTAACAACATCTCACAGACGAGCATCCATGATATTCTAAAACAAAGGGTAGCCAGGAGAACTTCTGATATGAAAAGATTAATAGAACCTGAAAATTTAAATTTATCAGTGTAAGAAGGGGTAAAATGGAGATAAGTACATATAAAATGCTAGGATGCTATAAATTTAACAATAGCTCAAAAAGGAATTTGACATGAATAAGTATAAGAATTTAGATTGATCTTACCTGATAATGACTGGTTCATTGAAGCCCATGTCAAACTATATATTCAATATAAGCTACACAACCTGGAGAACCGCTACGAAAATAACTTAAAATATCATCAAACACAACATGCTTTCGAAAGATAGAACAAGGCATTTCATCCAAAGTCAAACTTTCTAATCTCACAAAAGGGCAAGGTCTCCTTTCAAGTAAGCCACAAAACCTTGAAATATACAACACGGCATCTTTGTCTAAAATAAGGTGCTTTACCTTGTGAAGTTGATGAAAAGTGTTGATCATCGTTTCAACATAATTTGGTGGGTTTACAGTAGGCCTATCATAAATGGTTCGAAAGCTTACCGTTTCTAATGAATCAAGATCATTGGCTAATAACAAAGACGGAGTCATGTGATCATATATGAAAGATGAAAGATTTGGTGCTGAGATCACAAATTGACAAGAATGCACAAGACAGATTATTGTGAGATTCTCTAATCCACTTGATGTGATATAGAATGTACGAACATTCCATAATCGGCAATCAAGCAACACAAGATATTTCAGATTTGAAAAGGCGGAAAACAATTCCAAGGATCCATCGTCGTTTGGAGGATCCAGTGTAAATGTAACCCTTTGCAGATGTAAAGTAGTTAAAGTAGGCAAATACCATGTCAGATTTGGAGATTTTAACAACTCAAAATCGATATCCAAATAAAGATCTTGAAGAAAATGAGATTTAAGTAAAGACAAATCGAATCCGCCACGTCTTGTTGGTATATCACTCATGTACAGAATGTTGAGCATTTTAGTGCCGTGTGACATTGAATATGCTATGATCTTTTTGAGAAGGCGGATGGGGATAGAGTTTGAATGGATGTCAACGATTGGAATTTCTGCATCTTTCTTTCGCTTAGATAGAAATTTATGCACAAACTTATCGAATTTATGACCGGTGGAGAGATCGGTCTTGAATTTGAGACGTGGATGGCATTTCCATGTATTTCTCCACCTACGTGACAAAAGGCTACTTTGAACAGAAGATTTTGAGTCTAAAAATGAGTAAATGTGATCAATCAAATCATCGGGCAAACGGGAAATTCGATCTTTGTTGATCTGTTTTTTAGCCCTCTTGCGAACCCTCATTGATTTTCTCCGCATCATTTTTGATATGAAATCTATAGAATGGGGTTTCAATGTTTGATTTTGGGGCTGTGTATAGAGATACCCTTTATTTTTTTTGTTTACCATTATATATAGCCATATGACGTGTCTAGTGAACTTTCCAAAAGTTATTACTCACCGCTAAAGCATGGAATAGATCAGTCAAAACAGATGAGAGTTGTACCAATCAATTCAATAACAATTTAGTCTAACTATATAGTACTCAAAATCATTGACCAGAGAGCCTTTGCATAGGTGGTCATGGGTTCAAGTCTCTTAGGAGACATAGGTGGTATTTAGGAGTAGGTTAGCTAGTTTGTCATTTCAAAAAAAAAAAAAAATAGTACTACAAATCTGCAATTGCACTTAACAAGAATCCAGTGTATCACAGGAAAAGCAAACATATTGGGGTCAAGTATCATTTTATCTGTGAATTGGCAAGTCGTGGAGATGTTGAAGTTATCTTTTGCAGGACTAAATATCAAGTGGGTGATGTGCTTACTACTAAGGCATTAAGGGATGGAGATTTCTTAAAGATGAAAGAAAAGTTGGGAGTTATGCAAGTCCAGCTTAAGGGGGTGTGTTAAACTTATAATATAGACTTGTACATGGAGGAACTATGTTACCAGAAGTTAGTTAAAGAAGGTGGTTAAAGTCGGTTACATTCAACCGAAAATGGGAAAGGTTGCAATGCTTCGTGTCTGTAAATATGTGATTATGTACTATGTTAAGAATTAATGAAGATTTGTTTGCTTCTTAGCGAAGATAAGTTTTCATTGTTCTCGGTATAATCTGTTACACAATCTATAGAAATCAGTGTAATTAACAATCAAAAGGAAACAGATTATGCTACATCATAATAGCAATGTAATTAACAAATAATAATACTTTTGAATACAAGGAAACATGTTATCCTTCATGAATGCTGCGATTATGAAAAGATACCTTAAAAACACAACAATCACAAATAACTGCATTGAGGCAACTTGTTGAACAAAAGGAAAACTGTCACCTGAAGATATTATTTACTAAGCATGGAACATAAAAATGCAAAAGACATCTCTATAGAATGGAACATAAAAAACTTGTATAACAGAAATGTATAGCTGGGCAATAAATCTTCCTTTTTACTTGCATAGAATTAACACCGAAAGTGCTATTTAAAAGGAACCATGTAAACAGTGCAACACTAAAAAGTTGAGACTAAAGCTGAAGAAGGGCTTCACAACAGTGTATGAGGTTCTAGAAGTCTACTTATAATACAAGTAAAAAGGTTATACCTAAATAACATCCCGAAGCCAAGTGCTATTTTGTAGATTAGTACGCTACAGCTTTAAATAACAAATCCAAGAATAGATTCATATAGTCTGGTTAATGGTTATTACTTCTAAGGTAACTGTCTACTCTTCAAAAGGGATGTTGAAAAAAAAAAGTTTAATCATTAAAGGTTAAATGTAAACAGTGCAACACTAAAAAGTTGAGACTACAGATGAAGAACCCGGCTTCAAAACAGTGTATGAGGTTCTAGAAGTCTACTTATAATACAAGTAAAATATAAGAACAATGGAAAAGGCTTGAGAACCAACCATCCTGCTGATACAATCCGGCTTAAAGTGTACACAAGGAGACAGAAACGGGTCAAATCTCATGACCTAGAATCAGTTGAACAGGAGCAATTTAATGCCATTTTTGGGCTTTGGTTGGACCCATGGGGTGAACAAAGCAACGAGATAATGGAAAGGTTGGGAGCAGTTAAGAAGCTAGTTTCCATGAGCAGTTAGTGATCATCCAAGTGTTAATTAGCAGGCTACGTTTCAATAGTTTTTAGTTCAGTAATTTATCAATTGTCTATTTGTATTGGAGACTTTGCCCCTCTCGAATCGAGCCCTTTGATTTCATCCAATCATTTGCTTGCTGTAATTTCGAGATCCTATCATTGGTTCCATTGCCGGGAAATCGAAGAAGCAACAATGGTGCAGACCCTGAATAATTCCGAAGTCAGGGAGGACATCGCCGATTTGAAGCACCAAGCTGCAGCGAAGGAGAAGTTTGGTGGTGGGAGCAAGAATGACGATGGAGATACAAGGTATTCGGGTTTCAACCGTAGGCCATATCATATAATTGAATTTCCCATCTTCAGTGGAGGGGATCCGAGGGATTGGATATTGAAGGCTGATTTCCGATTTTATAACACTCTCGATGAAGAAAAGGTGGATGTTGCAGCTATGCATTAAGAGGGTGACGTCTTGCAAAAGCATTTTGGGCCTCCTGAATTCCAAAACCCAGACGAGTATTTGTGTAGTGTAAAACAAACGGGGTCGGTCCACGAATATCGACAAGAGTTTGCAAGAAGGT